TAGTATTTATGGTTTTAACATGTTATAATGTATATGGAGAACATAGAGCGGAACCATTATGTGTTTATATAAATAAATAGTCCTCTATCAAACTGAATGTGTTGTATAATTGCCATCAGATTCTGTTCAGCTGTGTGCTTTGCGTATGTGTCTGTTTGCAACCTTTTGTACTAGTAAGCAACTGTATATGATGTTTTTTCTTAAATAGAATATCTTTCTGTCCCAAATGTGTCAGGAAGCAGCTGTTTTGCAACCTTAAGAGTACATGAGCTTAATGAATACACGAATAAATACAAGTACCAACACACGATCTGTTTTGTGTCAGATTTGTAAGGTAACTGGAGATTAGTACAATGACACAAGACTGCTTTTGCTCCATTTTGAGTAAAGAAAGTGTTTTAAAGGCTAAGTATTCAAAAAAAATCTATATAAAAAATGGTCAACAATGGCAGATTTTGAGCTTGTGAGCTGTGTTGCCATGGTAACTTGAAACAAAATCAGGAGAATTTTACACAACACCTCCAGGTCACTAAGAAATGAATGGGTTGTCTCTAATTGTTGGTCCTTTCTGTCACCTTGAGTGATACAAATTGTCTGTCAAATGTGTTTTTTTTTAACGACAAATTAAAAAGGGTCTTTGCAAGGCAGGAAAAGTAGGGGATAGTTCACTCGAAAATTATCATCATTTTCTCATCTTCAAGTTGTTATAAACCTGTATGAGTCTCTTTCTTCTGCTGAACACAAAAGATGATATTTTGGCGAATGTGGGTAACCAAAACATTTCTGGTAGCCATTGACTTCCATAGTATTTTTTTCCATAATATGGAAGTCAGTGGCTACCGTCAACTGTTTGTTTCCCAGCATTCTTTAATATATATTATTTTGTGGAAAAAAAAAAAAACATACAGGTTTGTAACAACTTGAGGGTGAGTAAGTGATGACAGAATTTTCAATTTTGGGGTGAACTATCCCTTTAAAATTTTAAGTGCGTTTTAAGGCTTTGGTTCGGTGTAAATAAAATGCTGCATCATAGGTTTGCGGTCATCATGCTAGAAAGAAGTGTCCGATCACAATTCAATATGCAAACAGAACAGTCAGACCCCCTTAAATTTTTCACTCTTTGTTATATTGCAGCCATTTGCTAAAATCATTTAAGTTAATTTTTTTTCCTCATTAATGTAGTATTAGGGACATCTGGGCTAGTCATACTGTTTACAGTAAATGATGTGGCTACACAAATTAAACAAATCAACCATTTTCACACCTTGACCAATAGTGGGGTATGTTGTCAACACTATATGGAAAATCAGGATTTTAAGACTTTTTAAATTTTATTTAAGACAGTCTTGAAATCAACATACAAAAAAATGTTTTAGAGAACACAGGCATTTGACTCGAAACCTTATAACTACTGAGATGCAGTTTGTGTGTCAACTAGCACCAGTGTCCCTTGCTGGCAGTCAGAAGTAGATCACTGCTCGTCGCAGTCTAGCACAAAGAGTGTATTCACAGCTGAGTGAATACAGGCCAGACATTCTGTGCACTTCCACTTGGATGACCATTTAGATAATGTTACTTGTGCTTCTGTTCATAGCTTGGCAGCATTTAAAACCCCAAAACACAGATAATTTATCTCACTGTATAGGAGGCACTATAAAAGTTCTTGTCAAATCTGCATTAGAAAGATGTAGTCATTCTGTGAGCTAAACATTAAAGTACTTACCTTTAGCACTCTGCGTATTTATGTTACATTTAAATAAGCGGTTTTATTCATGCGATACATTTCTAACATTTATTGTTCAGCTGAATAAGATTTCCATGAATTTCTCTGCAGAACGAAATGACCTTAGTTAATTTGAGGCTATTGTATAAACAGTCCTGAGTATTTGAGTGGGAATTCAAATACAGCAGCCATTTATTCTTCTCTTTCCCTCTTTTCTTTTTATATTATTGATTTGCATCTCAAAACTCTGGTATTTCGAACTACGGAAATATCTTAAGAAACTGGGGCCTCATTTATAAAATGTGCGCACGCACAGATTTGATCTTAGAGTGTGCGTACGCTAAAATCCACGACAACGTTCAGATTTATAAAAACGCTCTTTGACGTGGAAAAGTGCTTACCGCCACGTCAGGGTCTGAGCAGGCATACGCACTTTTCCTTGTGGCAAAGTCGGAGTAAGCTACTGCAGCTATTTGAACATTTAAGCTGCAATAATAATAATAATAAAAGCGGTGTATGTGCAAGCACTGAATTCATCATAAACAACAAAGATGCAGTGTAAGAGATTAATTGTGCAGTGTAGTC